CCTCCAGCTCCCCGGCCCTCCCCTCCAGCTCCCCGGCCCCGCCCCTCCCCTCCCCTCCCCTCCAGCTCCCCGGCCCTCCCCTCCAGCTCCCCGGCCCTCCCCTCCCCTCCAGCTCCCCGGCCCCGCCCCTCCCCTCCAGCTCCCCGGCCCCTCCCCTCCCCTCCAGCTCCCCGGCCCGGCCCCTCCCCTCCAGCTCCCCGGCCCCACCCCACTGCCCTCCAGCTCCCGGCCCCGCCCCTCCCCTCCAGCGCCCCGGCCCGGCCCCTCCCCTCCAGCTCCCGGCCCCACCCCTCCCCTCCAGCGCCCCGGCCCGGCCCCTCCCCTCCAGCTCCCCGGCCCCGCCCCTCCCCTCCCCTCCAGCTCCCCGGCCCTCCCCTCCAGCTCCCCGGCCCCGCCCCTCCCCTCCCCTCCCCTCCAGCTCCCCGGCCCTCCCCTCCAGCTCCCCGGCCCTCCCCTCCCCTCCAGCTCCCCGGCCCCGCCCCTCCCCTCCAGCTCCCCGGCCCCTCCCCTCCCCTCCAGCTCCCCGGCCCTCCCCTCCCCTCCAGCTCCCCGGCCCCGCCCCTCCCCTCCAGCTCCCCGGCCCCTCCCCTCCCCTCCAGCTCCCCGGCCCCGGCCCTCCCCTCCAGCTCCCCGGCCCCTCCCCTCCCCTCCAGCTCCCCGGCCCCTCCCCTCCCCTCCAGCTCCCGGCCCCACCCCTCCCCTCCAGCTCCCCGCCCCTCCCCTCCCCTCCAGCTCCCGGCCCCACCCCTCCCCTCCAGCGCCCCGGCCCGGCCCCTCCCCTCCAGCTCCCCGGCCCCGCCCCTCCCCTCCCCTCCAGCTCCCGGCCCCACCCCTCCCCTCCAGCTCCCCGGCCCCGCCCCTCCCCTCCAGCTCCCCGGCCCCTCCCCTCCCCTCCAGCGCCCCGGCCCGGCCCCTCCCCTCCAGCTCCCCGGCCCTCCCCTCCCCTCCAGCTCCCCGGCCCTCCCCTCCCCTCCAGCTCCCCGGCCCTCCCCTCCCCTCCAGCTCCCCGGCCCTCCCCTCCCCTCCAGCTCCCCGGCCCTCCCCTCCCCTCCAGCTCCCCGGCCCCTCCCCTCCCCTCCAGCTCCCCGGCCCCGCCCCTCCCCTCCAGCTCCCGGCCCCACCCCTCCCCTCCAGCGCCCCGGCCCCACCCCTCCCCTCCAGCTCCCCGGCCCTCCCCTCCCCTCCAGCTCCCCGGCCCTCCCCTCCCCTCCAGCTCCCCGGCCCTCCCCTCCCCTCCAGCTCCCCGGCCCTCCCCTCCCCTCCAGCTCCCCGGCCCTCCCCTCCCCTCCAGCTCCCCGGCCCTCCCCTCCCCTCCAGCTCCCCGGCCCCGCCCCTCCCCTCCAGCTCCCGGCCCCACCCCTCCCCTCCAGCTCCCCGGCCCTCCCCTCCCCTCCAGCTCCCCGGCCCCTCCCCTCCCCACCAGCTCCCCGGCCCTCCCCTCCCCTCCAGCTCCCCGGCCCCTCCCCTCCCCTCCAGCTCCCCGGCCCCTCCCCTCCCCTCCAGCTCCCCGGCCCTCCCCTCCCCTCCAGCTCCCCGGCCCTCCCCTCCAGCTCCCCGGCCCCTCCCCTCCAGCTCCCCGGCCCCTCCCCTCCCCACCAGCTCCCCGGCCCTCCCCTCCCCTCCAGCTCCCCGGCCCTCCCCTCCAGCTCCCCGGCCCTCCCCTCCCCTCCAGCTCCCCGGCCCCTCCCCTCCAGCTCCCCGGCCCTCCCCTCCAGCTCCCCGGCCCTCCCCTCCAGCTCCCCGGCCCTCCCCTCCAGCTCCCCGGCCCTCCCCTCCCCTCCAGCTCCCCGGCCCCTCCCCTCCAGCTCCCCGCCCCTCCCCTCCAGCTCCCCGGCCCTCCCCTCCCCTCCAGCTCCCCGGCCCCTCCCCTCCAGCTCCCCGGCCCCTCCCCTCCCCTCCAGCTCCCCGGCCCTCCCCTCCAGCTCCCCGGCCCTCCCCTCCCCTCCAGCTCCCCGGCCCTCCCCTCCAGCTCCCCGGCCCCTCCCCTCCCCTCCAGCTCCCCGCCCCTCCCCTCCAGCTCCCCGGCCCTCCCCTCCAGCTCCCCGGCCCTCCCCTCCCCTCCAGCTCCCCGGCCCCTCCCCTCCAGCTCCCCGCCCCTCCCCTCCAGCTCCCCGGCCCTCCCCTCCCCTCCAGCTCCCCGGCCCCTCCCCTCCAGCTCCCCGGCCCCTCCCCTCCCCTCCAGCTCCCCGGCCCTCCCCTCCAGCTCCCCGGCCCTCCCCTCCCCTCCAGCTCCCCGGCCCTCCCCTCCAGCTCCCCGGCCCCTCCCCTCCCCTCCAGCTCCCCGCCCCTCCCCTCCAGCTCCCCGGCCCCTCCCCTCCAGCTCCCCGGCCCCGCCCCTCCCCTCCAGCTCCCCGGCCCGGCCCCTCCCCTCCAGCTCCCCGGCCCTCCCCTCCCCTCCAGCTCCCGGCCCCTCCCCTCCAGCTCCCCGGCCCTCCCCTCCCCTCCAGCTCCCCGGCCCTCCCCTCCCCTCCAGCTCCCCGGCCCTCCCCTCCCCTCCAGCTCCCCGGCCCTCCCCTCCCCTCCAGCTACCCGGCCCTCCCCTCCCCTCCAGCTCCCGGCCCCTCCCCTCCAGCTCCCCGGCCCTCCCCTCCCCTCCAGCTCCCCGGCCCTCCCCTCCCCTCCAGCTCCCCGGCCCTCCCCTCCCCTCCAGCTCCCCGGCCCTCCCCTCCCCTCCAGCTCCCCGGCCCTCCCCTCCCCTCCAGCTCCCCGGCCCTCCCCTCCCCTCCAGCTCCCGGCCCCTCCCCTCCAGCTCCCCGGCCCTCCCCTCCCCTCCAGCTCCCGGCCCCTCCCCTCCCCTCCAGCTCCCCGGCCCTCCCCTCCCCTCCAGCTCCCGGCCCCACCCCTCCCCTCCAGCGCCCCGGCCCTCCCCTCCCCTCCAGCTCCCCGGCCCTCCCCTCCCCTCCAGCTCCCCGGCCCTCCCCTCCCCTCCAGCTCCCCGGCCCTCCCCTCCCCTCCAGCTCCCCGGCCCCACCCCTCCCCTCCAGCTCCCCGGCCCTCCCCTCCAGCTCCCCGGCCCCGGCCCGCCCTCCCGCCCTCCCGCCTCACCTCCCCGGCCCCGGCCCGCGGACCCCGCCCTCCCGCCTCACCTCCAGCTCGTCGGCCGCGGCGTGCAGCAGGCAGTGGCCGCCCAGGGCCGGGGCGCCGGGCCGGCTGGCGGAGATCCAGGTGAGGCGGCGCTGGGCCCGCAGCGCTCGGCGCACGCACTCCCTCCACAGGCGGCACACGCTGGGGACGCAAACGCACGGGGTCGCGGAGGACCGGCGCCGCCCGCGCCGCCCGCCCCGCACCCGGTGCCGCCCGCCCCGCTCCGCACCTGGCCACCCGCAGCAGCGCCTTGGCGGGCAGGAAACTGAACACGCGCTCCACCACCTCCGCGAGGTTGCTCAGCACGAAGGTGCTCCGCGGGTTCGCGGAGGGGCCGCAGTCGTCCCCGCCGCCGGCGCCCACCGGCTCCATTGCTCCTCCCGCCGGAGCCCGAGTGACCGCTACGGCGGCCCGGAGGAGTCCGACGACGCCGTCGCCGGGCGGGGCGCACTGCGCAGGCGCGCGCTACTTCCGCTGGGCCGCCCTCCGGGGAGGGCGGGGCCTCCGGGGAGGGCGGGGCCTCCGGGGAGGGCGGGGCCTCCGGGGAGGGCGGGGCCTCCGGGGAGGGCGGGGCCGCTGAGTTTCTCCGGAGGCCTGGGAAGCCGTGGCTGACCCAGAGCTGCTTCCCCACCGTGGAAGCTCGAGCTCTGTATCTGAGCCTCTGCATTTCGCCAGTTCACTTTCTAATTCTCTAATTAGTTTTTTAATGTTTCTTTTTTATCGTAAGGATCCTGCACAGAGGGGTTACAGTTCCATGTAATTCTCGAGTTTCTTAAGGGGAGGCAGGGAGACAAGGCTTTTACCAATTCCCAATGCCTGTTAAATAGTATGAGCCTTTAAAAATAAAAAACAGAACCTCCCGGCTGTACTCAGGAGGCAGAAACCTGAGGATCAAAGCCAGCCAGGGCAGGAAAGCCCATGAGATTCTCATCTCCAGTTAACCACCAAAAAGCCAGAAGTGGAGCTGTGGCACAGAGCATTAGCCTTGAACACGAAAGGTCAGAGACAGGGCCTAGGCCCTGAGTTCAAGCCCCAGGGCCAGCCAAAATCATTCTAAATTCGAAAGAACTCTATTTACAATTTTATATATGTATTATATATGTTATATATAGTCAGTCATGGGACTTGAACTCTGGGCCTGGGCGCTCTCCCTGAGCTCTTCAGCTCAAGGCGAGCGCTCTACTACTTGAGCCACAGCACCACTTCCAGTTTTCTGGTGGTTTAGTGGTGATAAGAGTCTCACAGACTTTCCTTCCTTGGTCTGGCTTTGAACCATGATCTTCAGATCTCAGCCTCCTGAGTAGCTAAGATTATAGATGTGAGCCACCGGCACACAGCTTCAATAATATTTTATAGAAAAGAACGACCCAGGCCTCACTCCCTCCCATACTGAATGTGATGTCACTTTACACACTGAAAGTCTTGTGTCTTAATAGAAAACAGCTGGGGTCTTCCAGCTGCTCCGAAATGCAGCCCCTGCAGTTATGAACTCTCATGAAGCTGCACAAAGCTCCAGGTAACACTTAGAGAATGTGTGAAAGTGGCCAATATTTCTGTATTGCAAGTAGTACTGCCATTAAAACATTTCTGATTCTCAAAATCCTATTTTGAAAAGCCACTGGCCCAAACGAATCCTGAAGTTTCCTCCATTCCACCAGTGCTGGTTCAGGGCAGGCAGCAGGGAGCAGAGGGTAGCTACGGTTCTCACCTCCTGAGGGGTGCCATCTTCCTCTGGCGGTGCGAGGTAGCTGTCCAGCTAGACACAACATTCAATGGCAAGATGACATTGGCATGGGAAAAAAATCTCCAAGCCTTCCCACACTTCAACCTTTTTTTTTTTTTTTTTAATTCCAGAAACATAATGAGAGCCTGCAGACATGTGCAGCACATCTCTTGAGGGAAAAGTTGACAACGTTATTTTAAATGGTTCTTTATTCATAAACTTGATGCAAGTTTACAAAATTTACTGTACATTGCCAAAATAAGTCTGCAAGGAAAAATTTAAAAAAAAGCATGCCAAATTGCAGCTGTCAATCTGCTAGCCATCAGGAAATTAAGTATTTAAGAATAGAGTCAAGATTTAGCCTTAGGTTTAAGGAACTTTGATGCTTTAAAATTTCAATTCTGCCTCACCACAGCTGTTATCTGAGCAACCAGCAATCAGAACCTTATATAAACATAACCAAGTGAGCAAGAATGCCAGAAAATATTTACCTTCTGCCCCCATCACCAAGATAGGAAGAGAAGAAATGAAACGCATGTAATAACCTGGAAGTGCCAAGGGTCTTGGATGTGAATCTGAAAGTAAAATGTGTAAGAAAACACTTTGGAACTCTGTACAGGATTCCTGCAGAAAATTGTGCTTCTGGTTTCTTTGTAAAAGTGCTTAATAACCACAATTCGTTTTTAAATCAAATGAGTTCATGAAAAAAAAAAAAAAAAAAAAATTACCAGAGGAGCTGACCCACCTTACCTAGGTGACAGAACAAGAGGGCGCGCTGATTTGAGCGGTTTTTAGAGCACGAACAGGTCACATTCCTGTGCCATCTTTGCTGCAAAAGCCACTGCTACGACAGGGGCAAAGACAATTTTGAGAATCCACACAGCCAACCTTTTGTGCCTAACTCTTTCACCTTTGCTTCAAGGAGCCTGTCTGCATGCCTGTCAGTTTACAGGATTACGACTTTCAAACAGCTGCAATCCCATGTAAAGGTGATCACATGTAAAGCCTTTTCCACAGTGACTTCAAGCTCTACCCTGTGGCTCTGCTTCATAAACACTGAACTGGGCCGGGGGAAGCGGGCGCGGCCTGGGGGCGAGGGCAGCGCCTCTGAGCCAGAGCTGCACCGCTGCGCCTGGGCCATCGCCGCCTCCTCCTCTTCAGTTTGTTCACCTGGGCTTCGCCCGAGCAGTACGACACAACTAAAAGGTTTGTCCTCCCATCTTCACGTGGTCATTAAAATAAAACAAAACAAAAAACCCCAAGTACAGCATTTTAATAATAGGGTTTCCTGTCACTATTTTGGCAATCAAGTAGTGTTAGACCTGAAAAAGGCTATGGCTTAGAAGATCTACAATTCTCTAAACCAATACTGAACATCTTTCACACTTTTATTGGCTCTAATGGGAGAGAGTCTGCAAACTCTTCCGTCCAGGACGCGGTGGAGACGCTGCTGGCGGAGGCTGCAGACTTGCCTGCTCAAAAGACTTCACTTTTCGAGAAAAAGAGATGATCGGGAGTGGCAGTATGTGTTATTTATCAGGAAAAATACAGTGAAGGCCCGCTGCTCGGTCCCGCTGCCGGCGTGAGCGCGGGCAAGGCTGTCCCTCATCCTGATGGCAGCCAACGGAGCAGCGGCCAAAGTCTTCGGTAGGTGCTGCGGTCACAGTGGCTGGCACTCAACGCTGAGTGTGAATGCTGAGAAGATCTTGAAAGCAACATCAGTGCAGACAAGATGGGCAACACAGTTTAGCCATCTTCCTTTGGAGGAGTGTACCAGCCTGGAAGAGAACGGGGAAAAGCGACACTGCTTTAAGGATCAGGAGAGCTGGCGTGGATTCAGACCACATTGTCCCCGGTCAGTGTTGGGAGTGTGCTTTTCTGTGAGGCTCCCTGGCCTGATGATGTCCCACTGCAGATGATGAGCTCAATGGGAGGCGCTGATTTCAATGTTGCATTTAGTGTGGAAGAAAACCTTCCTAAAAACTCTCTCCCTGGGCTAGCAATGTGGCTCAGTGGTAGAGTGCTCGCCTCGCATCCATGAAGCCCTGGGTTCGATTCCTCAGTACCACATACACAGAAAAAGCCAGAAGTGGCACTGTGGTTCACCTGGTGGAGTGCAAGCCTTAAGCAAAAGAAACTCAGGGATAGTGCCTAGGTCCTGAGTTCGAGCCCCAGGACTGGTACAATAAAACAAAAACATAAAAAAAACTCCCTCCCCCCCACAGCACCCCTGCCTTTTTGAGCAGGAGGAGCTGGAACCAGCAGCGGAGGTAGTGTTCTATCTGCGCAAATGACAGCGCTGCAAAGTTAGACACATCGGCTACGTATGGTTATTCTATTATCTATGTATGAGTGTACTTACGTATGTCAAAACCACCACCTACATGACAAATACATACAATGTCATCTGTCAATTAAAAATAAAATGACTATGAAGAAGTATCAAAATGATAAAAATGAAGCACCTCTTCTAATTCTCAAACTGCCCCTCTTTTGGCCCTGCTAAGCTTACATACACACCACACTTGCAAATACAACTTTTTTAAATAGCAGTTACAATATTGACTTAAGAAAGAAAGAAGACCTGGGTGCTGGTGGCTCACGCCTGTAACTGTATCTACACAGGAGGCTGAGATCTGAGGATCACGGTTCAAAGCCAGCCCAGGCAGGGAAGTCTGTGAGACTCAAACTACTCTGGAAAATATGGAAGTGGCGCTTTGGCTCAAGTGGTAGAATGCTAGCAGATGCAACAACTTGAGCACGGGGAGGCTCAGGGACAATGCTAGGCCGAGTTCAAGCCCAGGACCAACAGAGGGAGGGAGGGAGGGAGGGAGGGAGGGAGGGAGGGAGGGAGGGAGGGAGGGCCAGGCACCAGTAGATCATGTGTAATCCTAGCTACTGAGGAGGATCAGATGTGAGGATCTCTGGGTGAAGCCAGCATGGACAGAAAAGTCCATGAGGCTCATCTCCCATGAACCACCGTACAGCCAGAAGTGGCCACCGTGGCTCAAGTGGTAGGATGCTAGCCTTACGCAGAAGAGCTCAGGGAAGTGCCCAGGCCCTGAGTTCAAGCCCCAGGGCCAGCATAAAAAAGAAAACCATGCTAGAGTTGAACTTTGCTGTGAAAACGCCGAGGGGGCGGGCAGGAGTGCGCGGCAAGTGTGCGGCTCCCTGCGTGAGCATGTGGACGGTGCCGGCCCGGAAATCACCGGTGGCCACGTCATCTTGTCGGGGTCGGGAACATAATGTGGGCGCGTGCCCTCTGAGGAAAGCGAGTGTGGCCCGCAGGGTGGGGCTCAGCTTCACTGCTGCGCCCCGGCTACAACGGCGGGGCACGCTCAGCTGCGCTTCTTCCCAAATTCAGGCCAGTTGTTGAGCAGAGGCATCCAAGGCTAAAAGAGATGCCAGGATTTGCCCAAGGCCTTAAAGCAAGAGAGTGACACGATGACACCGACACCAGAGCCTCCTCTTCCAAGTCTAGCTCTGTTTTTTTACCCTCACTACTAAAACAAAACAAAAAAAAAACAAGCAACACTCAAAAACGTGCATTGTGATACTAACAAAATGTCAAGTCAGTAATTTAGTGAAAGACATTTTAAGAAAGTAACAGCCACAGGTGTATTCTGAAATGAGAATAAAAGGGTCAGAAGCAGTCCGTAAGCTGAAGATGTTTCAGAAACAGTTGGCTCAGATCCTACTGTACTGACTCGACTATGGTAAGTTCTCGTAAGAGTTGCCTGTAGCTGGGCATGGGGTGCACACCTGTCATTCCAGTCCCCAGAAAGCGGAGGGAGGAGGACTGCTTGAGGCCAGCTAGGCCAGCAAGACCCAAGCTTAAAGGGAAACACATGGAAAACAAAAAACAAAAAACCACAACACTATACAGAGGTGCATTTAACTCAATTCTTATCCTACTACATCTCACATGAGCAAAGATTCATTCATCTACCCAACACCACTGGCCCCGAAACAGAGGCCTGGGGGGAGTGGGGGGAGAGGTGGGGATTCATGTCAACTTACTTTTTGCAAGGAGGCAATACTTAGTGTCATGCTTGCTTGCTTGGTACTCTACTGCTGAGCCACACCTCCAGCCCTTTTCCACACTGGTTATTTTTGACAGGGTCTCACTTCCTGCCTGGGGACACACCTGGGCCACCATCCACCTATTTAGGCTGCCTGTCCTGGCAGGGCTGACAGGTGCAGGCTACCATGCCCAGCTTCTTCCGCTGAGGCAGAGTATCTTGGATCTTTCTGCCCTCGGCTGGCCTGCAAACTCCGTTTTGTGGATGACAGCTCTCATGGAGCTGGGGTGACAGCACCCACCACACTGTCTCAATCACTTTCCTGCCCAGGCTGCTCGCGAGCCGCAGTCCTCCTGGTCTCTGCCTCCAGAGGAGCCAAGGTCATGGGCGCAAGCCACTGCCACCCGGCCCGCGCCAAGATTTGAAATGCAGCCCAAGTTAAATGTTTTTCACTGTTGTGACAGTACTAGAAATTACAGCAAAAACAGCGAAGTGAAGGAAGATGAATAGCAATGCTAATGGAAGCTTCGCAGGCGGCAGGATGGCGTGCTGGCCACAGGGTGGAGTAAACGTACCGTTCTTCTCGTGGATCTGCACGATGGAGTTATAGGATTGTTGGGCTCTTGCTAGATTATACTGATTCTGAAAGAGAATTACACATTCCCAATCAAGACTGGATAAAAGCAGATACAAACGGCAAAATACATTTATGGATGCTTAAAAGCAGACAGGGAATTGAAGAGCCCCATTTTTTAAACCGTCATTGACCCAAGTTCTTTCTTCTCTACAGTTTTATAAGAGCAAAAACAAAACTAGTCGATAAAAATCAACATGCTTCCAGGCTTCCTTCTGTAAGTCTTCTGTCCCAGCGTGGACCCGCGTGTCCCTGAGTGGGCACAGACAGAGCAAAAGAGCGGGATGCAAACCCCCTTGCTCAGGAACTGTAGTGTTTACTTCCAGCTAAGCTGAAGCGCTACACGAGGGAGACGCGTGGGGTGAGACATCTCACGCAAGGCTGCAGCCGCACCAGCCATCACCACAGGACTCCTGGAAGGGTGCGGGCCTCTTCTTCCAGGAGCCCAGCTGGGGCTACATTTGAGGCCCCGAAGTACAACTGACCTGCATCTTAACATCCAGCAGCACAGTGGTACAGATCACCCCAGAGTCCTTTTTTTTTTTTTTTTTTTTATCATGGGGCTTGAACTCGGCCTGGGCGCTGTCCCTGAGCTCTTCAGCTCACCGCTAGTGCTCTACCACTTGAGCCACAGCACCACTTCTGGTTTTCTGTGGTTAATTGGAGGTAAGAGTCTCATGGAGGCCAGGCACCAGTGGCTCACGCCTGTAATCCTAGCTATTCAGGAGGCTGAGATATGAGGATCATAGTTCAAAGCCAACCCAGGCAGGAAAGTCCATGAGAATCTTATCTCCAATAAACCACTAGAAAAACTGAAGTGGCGCTGTGGCTCAAGTGGTAGAGCGCTCGCCTTGAGCTGAAGAGCTCAGGGACAGCGCCCAGGCCCAGAGTTCAAGCCCCACAATTGACCAAAAAAAAAAGTCTCTGGGACTTTCCTGCCTGAGCTGGCTTTGAACCACAACCCTTAGATCTCAGCCTCCCGAGTAGTTAGGACGGCAGGTGAGAGCCGCCTGTGCCTGGCAATCCGGAGTCTTTGGAGCCAAAGCTTAGATGGCAGGAGACCCGCCCAGCCTCCCTGTGCCACATCTCCACCTCCTCCCACCACACTGAGCACTCTACTTGTCTCTGGCGTGGCCGTCTCTAGGATTCCACGTGTTTGTGTGCAGCCTCCTGTGTGCACGTCTATAGCTTGTGAAAGGCAGTGATTCTCAGGAACTGCAGAGTCCCCGGAGCCTCCATGACCTCTGACCCTGAGAGCCGAGGGCTGCACCCTCCCCGGGGCTTGAGGCTGCGTGTCTGGTACCAAGTGAGGGCAACATGTTTCAGCTGTTCATGAGGCGACTGATTCCAATTCTGCACGTACACTTGTTGCATCTTTCCCCTATTTTCCTACAAGCAAGTCTTTTCAAATTTGAAATGCTAAAGCCCTATCACAGGCATCTAAAAATGAACACACAAAAAATATCCAGGGCTGGGGCTGGGAAGGTGGCTCAGTGGTAGAGCGCTTGCCTTGCATGCATGAGGCCCTGGGTTCGATTCCTCAGCACCACATAAGCAAAAAGAAAAAAGCCGGAAGTGGTGCTGTGGTTCAAGTGGTAGAGCGCTAGCCTTGAGCTGAAGAGCTGAGGGACAGCGCCCAGGCCCAGAGTTCAGGCCCCTGACCAGCAAAAAAAAAAAGCAGTAGGCAGGGCGCCAGTGGCTCTGGCCCGTCATCCTAGCTACTCAGGAGGCTGAGATCTGAGGGCCGCAGTTCAAAGCCAGCCTGGGCAGGAAAGTCTGTGAAACTCTTATCTCCAATAGACCACCAGAAAACCAGAAGTGGCGCTGTGGCTCAAGTGGTAGAGTGCTAGCCTTGAGCTAAAGAGCTGAGGGACAGCGCCCAGGCCCAGAGTTCAAGCTCCACAGCCTCACAACTAAAACAAAACAAAAAAATGCAGTAGTATCACCTCAAGGATAATTTAAAAATAGTCTGCACAGAAAGAGCTAAAAATGAGAGAGCTACAAAAAAGAGGCTGAACTAAACCACACAAATGTAGCCCCAAAGACCACAGCGCACCACTTCCTCCACTGCCCCTGGACATGGGGAGGGGATGATATTGTCAGCTCCCACCATGGTCAACAGTCAACAGAGCTGAGCACGGTGGCACGCTCCTATAATCCCAGCTATCTAGGAAGCAGAGATCAGAAGGATGTTTAGGGCCAAAAATTCTCAAGATCACATCTCAACCAACCGCTGGCTGTCGTCCCAGCTCTGTGGGAAGTGCCAATGGGAGAAGCCAAGCCTGTAGCTCCACAATGGGCTGGTGGGGTGGCTCAGGGGGCCCCCCCCATTCCTCAGAAGTTCAACTCTCACCACTACACTACCAAAACCAAAAACAAGACAGCCAACTCACAAGGCACACAGACTCCATTTTAATGGTGCTTGGCTTTGCTAATTCCCGACTTCTCCATCCTTTCTCCCTCATTCTGTCCTCTTTAACACTGAGCTGGAGACATGACTCATTTTACTTTTTTTCTTCTTGCCAGCAATCAGTAGACAAGGCTCTGAGAGCAAAGGTCCGGTGTAGGGTGAAGGCGCTACTGCTCTGGGCCAGGTGCTCCGTGGTCTGAATTCCAAATACCCATTGTACCTTTGCCCTAAGGGTTGTGAGTGTAGGAAAACACCACACAGCTGCTCTGTGCCAGTCCTGCGGCTTGAACTCACAGACTGGGCACTGTCCCTTAGGTTTTATTCTCTCAAGGCTGGTGCTCTACCACGAGTCATAGCTCCTCTTCTAGTAAATATTGAATTCAATGTCATACTATTTGATTTTTGTTTTGTTTGGGTTTTTTTTGGCCAGTCCTGGGGCTTCAACTCAGAGCCTGGGCGCTGTCCCTGAGCTTCTTTTCGCTCAAGGCTAGCGCTCTACCACTTGAGCCACAGCGCCACTTCCAGCTTTTCTGTGTATGTGGTACTGAGGGATCAAACCCAGGGCTTCATGCATGCAAGGCAAGCGCTCTACCACCGAGCCACCTTCCCAGCCCCAACATCATACTATTTGAGCAGACATTAAATGCAAAACTCACATACAACTTCAGGAAAAAAAGGTTCAACTTTAAAAAAAAAAGGCAGATAAGGATGATTCAAATCACGTGAGTATTTCTCAACAGGTCCTGACTTCAGGACCTTCCCGGTCTGTGTCACTAGTTGGCGGTGACACGGAGGATTGTGGTCCGGCAAGGGAACGGGCACAGAGCAGGCGATGAAGCAGAGCCTGAGAGAGCGCCAAAACCAGCAGGCTGCCAGCGCTCACACGGCTCATCTGCCCACAGGAAGGACATGGGGACAATACAGAGGATCAAGAGTGAAGGCAAACTTGGAGAGGGAGAAGTACGTGGAGTTCTCTGCAGATTAACTATTACCCTGTGACCTCTGTTCCCAGAAACCTCGAATGACTGACTCATCGTGTCCCGGTTTCATGATTCTACTGGAATATACCAGACTAGAAGGAAGATAGCAACTACGTGATGGTGGTATTCTCTTTTTTTTTTCTTTTTATTTCTTGGTTGTGGGGCTTGAACTCTGGGCCTGGGCGCTGTCCCTCAGCTCTTCAGCTCAAGGCAGGTGCTCTACCACTTGAGCCACAGCGCCACTTCCTGTTTTCTGGTGGTTTATTGGAGATAAGAGTCTTATGGACTTTCCTGCCCGGGCTGGCTTTGAACCGTGATCCTCAGATCTCAGCCTCCTGAGTAGCTAGGATGACAGGTGTGAGCCACCAGCACCTGGCTAGTTTTCTTATACTCTGGCATTCTCTGATGGGTCATTTTACTGACAAGAAAACAAACCAAACAAAAATGAAATGCACTGCCTCACAGAGTCAGGTCAAGACAAGAAACCTGCCAAGCACAGCATAGGGGAAACGCATTTTAAGACTTTACATGATAAGATTCTTACGGCACAAAGTACCTTATTTGCTCCAAACTGCACTCTAGCTTTGCCCTTGACTAAGGTGGCGTTGATCTGCATGATGACGGACTCAACAGAGTAGGCGCTGCTCCAGCCCTGCAGAAGGAAACACGGCTCTGAGACGCGGCTCTGCTCCGTCTCCACGCAGAAAGCCCACCCCGGGCACGGGTCATCAACAGCGCAGGCTCCGAAGTGTGTCACACAGGAAGACTCTGGCTGCTTCCAGAACCTCACCACAGCCCCCACAGCATGCCATGCTCTAGGCGCCTGACAGGGGAGCGCTAAACGTACATACAACAGTCCTCCCTGAGTTTCATCTGGGGTGCACTTGGTCCAGCACTAGGTTACTTTAAATAGTAACCTAGTTTTTTTTGTGACTAAAAGTGGGAGGCATTAAAACAAAATAAATACAGTTAAGGCAGATGCTATTGCAAGAGAACTTTTTTGTTTTGGTCCGTCGTGGGGCCTGAACTTGGGCTGGGCACTGTCCCAGAGCTCTTCAGCTCAAGGCTAGCGCTCTACTACTTGAGCCACAGCGCCATTTCTGGCTTTTTCTGCTATGTGATGCCAAGGAATTGAACCCAGGGCCTCATGCATGTAAGGCAAGCGCTCTACCACTGACCAGCCTTCCCAGCCCCACAAGAGAACTTTTCTTAGAACCTTATTTGTACAACCAAGTAGTTCACTGAGGCTGAGAGTCGGGGAGTGCGGGGAAGAGTTACCTGCTTCGTGAGAAGTTCCATACACAGCGCTCCACCACCTAACACGTACCTGAAAGACAGGGACACACGCCATTCTCTATACCCTGTAGTCCTTGCAGAAGATAATATGCTCAAGATGTCAAAAACTAAGAGCTCAGTCAGGTGCTGGTAGCTCATGCCATCCTAGCTACTTAGGAAGATTCTCAGGCAGGAAAGTCTGTGAGACTCATCTCCAATTCAACAACAAAAAGCTGGAAATGGAGCTATGGTTCAAGTGGTAGAGCACTAGCCTTGCGCAAAAAGCTCAGGGACAGTGCCCAGGCCCTGAGTTCAAACCCCAGGACCAGCACATTTAAGTAAACAAACAAACAAACCCTAAGAACTTATTCCCAAACATTCCAGAATGGAGAAGCCGGGTGTCCTGTACCTGCGCTCAGGGCCGTGCGGCAGATTCCCCCCCGGAAGCCCTCCAGGACTCCTCCAGTTCTCCAGGCCTGAAACACTTGTTTATGGAACCAAAGCTCATCTCTAAAGCCATCATCTAAAATCAAGATTCTTTTTTTTTTTTTGCTAGTCCTGGTGTTTGAACTCCGGACCTGAGCACTGCCCCTGAGCTCTTTAGCACAAGGCAAAGGCTCTACCACTGGAGCCACAGTGCCTCTTATGGTTTCCTGGTGGTTAGTTGGAGATAAGCCTCATGGACTTTCCTGCCCAGGCTGGCTTTGAACCTTGATCCTCAGAACTCAGCCTCCTGAGTAGCTAGGATGACAGGCATGAGCTACTGGTGCCTGGCTTCCTGCCATTTTTTGTGTATGTGGTAGAGGAATCAAGCCCAGGGCTTCATGCATGCGAGGCAAGCTCTCTACCACTAAGCCACACTCCCAGCCCCAAGATTCAACCTGTTGTACTGTCTCAAAACAAATCACTTCACCCTGCTTTGTGTGAGATTGCAGTATGCTTTGAACATTGTGTCTATAGCTGACGCTCAAGATATCAAGAATTGGAGAAGACGGTGGACATGGAAGCTGAGAATTCTACCAGGTCTCGAACCCACCACCTGCTACAGGCACACTCGTACTTGCAGCTCAGAACGCGTCACCATCCTAAAGCAAACTCTTCCGCCACGGCCCAGAGCTGTCATCAAAGAAGCCACACTTCATAGGCTCCTATTTACAGGCAGCGCCACAGAGCCACAGCAGCTAAGAGAATGTAGGCACCATCAGTGAAGGATGGACACACAGAGCAGCTTCAAGAACCTTCCAGGGCCGGGAAGGTGGCTCAGTGGTAGAGCGCTTGCCTTGCATGCTCGAGGCCCTGGGTTCGATTCCTCAGCACCACATAAGCAAAAAGAAAAAAGCCGGAAGTGGCGCTGTGGCTCAAGTGGTAGAGCGCTAGCCTTGAGCTGAAGAGCTGAGGGACAGCGCCCAGGCCCAGAGTTCAGGCCCCACGACCGGACCCAAAAATAAAAAAAAAGAACCTTCCAGAAGGAGGTAGTGGTTCAGGCTGCACAGCACTTGACATGTACTCTATGAGGGTGTATTGTATCAGAAATAAAGTTTAAATTATTTATGAAGAGCTGTTGTTTTAGTTAAAAGGTTGACTATGACAAGATAAAGAAACAGGACAGAAGACAGAAGATGGAAGAAATGAAACACACAGAAGAAAAGGGGCTCAGCAGCTCATCCGAAACACAGCTCTGAGATGGCGAGAGGTGGGTTTGCTCTGCCCGAAAATGAACCTGCCATCGCTCCTGTGTCTGGAAGGCCTGCCCAGTGCAACCCTGCCCAAAGGAGCGCGTGCGCGCTGCGTGGCTCCACCGTCCCTTTAGCCTCAGCCTGGCTCTGATCATGAGGACAGAGGAGACTTCTGCGGGAGTCGCCCTGCCCGGTCTGCTCATTCACCTCTAAGACATGTCCTGTACTTGACTCCCTCTCCCCTGCTGGGCCCGTTAACTGAGATGAATCCAAGCTCCACGGGTGAGCCAGCCACCAGGCCTGCGTTCACCGCCATGCTGGGCCATCAGAACCACTTCCACCGAGAAAAACCTAACCACGAGGGCCTAGCTGGAAGATGGCTAGAGTTATAAGCAAGAGACAAAGAAAGGTCAAATTTATTTTGTGTATGTGAATATTTGACTGGATTACCTAATACTCATCTTTCAAAACTGATTATGAGGCTTTGGGATAGGAAAAGCTTTTTTATTGTCTAATCCAAAAGAGCTCAGGGACGCTTTAATAAAAATACTTTTTTTGGGGGGCTGGGAAGGTGGCTCAGTGGTAGAGCGCTTGCCTTGCACTCATGAGGCCCTGGGTTCGATTCCTCAGCACCATATAAGCAAAAAGAAAAAAGCCAGAAGTGGCGCTGTGGCTCAAGTGGTAGAGCGCTAGCCTTGAGCTGAAGAGCTGAGGGACAGCACCCAGGCCCAGAGTTCAGGCCCCACGACCGGACTCCCCCCCCAAAAAAAATACTTTTTTTTCCCCTTGCTGGCACTAGGACTTGAACTCAAGGCTTGGGCACTCTTGCTCCTATTTTTGTTTTTTTTTTAATCATCTCATCTGGCACTGTACCACTGGAGCCACACCTCCAGTTCTGGTTTTTTTCCTGGTTAATTAGATGTAAGAGTCTACCTATTTTTCTTTCTTTCTTTTTTTTTTTTTTTGTCAGTCATGGGGCTTGAACTCAGGGCCTGGGCGCTGTCCCTCAGATTTTCACCTCAAGACTAGCGCTCTATCACTTGAGCCACAGCGCCGCTTCCAATTTTCTGGTGGTTTATTGGAGATCAGAGTCCTCATGGACTTTCCTGCCTAGGCTGGCTTTGAACCATGGCCTCAGATCTCAGCCTCCTAAGTAGCTAGGATTACAGGCATGAGCCACTGTCGCCTGCTACCCATGCTTATAAGTTAAATGTCATTATTACTATCTTGAAAGCAGCAATGATCAACATAGGAACTAGAAACTTTTAGACTTACATTATAACACAATGAATTATCTCCACAAGAAGCTGAGCATTTGAAATTTCTCAGTGACTTAATTGTTTCTAGTTTGGGGTCTACAGAACATTTGATAACTAATCTGACCTTTCCACACCATCCAAAGGACTTCTGACCACAAAGCAGCCAGAGGAAACTGAGGAAAGCTAGACATGACAATTACCACTCATGTGTATATGTGTGCGTGCGTGTGCATGTGTGTATGTGTGTGTGTGTGTGTGTGTTTTATAATTAATTGGAGCTAAGAGTCTCATGGACTTTTCTGCCTAGGCTTGGCTTTGAACCAGGGTCTTCAAATTAGCCTCCTGAGCAGCTAGGTTGACAGGAGTGAGCCACTGGTACCAGGGCACACTCAGTTTTTGTTTTGTTTTTGTCAGTCATGGGACTTGAACTCTGGGCCTGAGCGCTGTCCCTCAGCTCTTCAGCTCAAGGCTAGCACTCTACCACTTGAGCCACAGCGCCACTTCTGGTTTTCTGAGTGGTTTATTGGAGATAAAGACTTTTATAGGCTCTCCTGCCTGGGCTGGCTTTGAACCACGATCCTCAGATCTCAGCCTCCTGAGTAGCTAGGATGACAGGTAAGCATGAGCCACGGGCGCCCGGCTGGAACACTCAATTTTTAAATGATAAACATATAAATAGGCACCACTGAAAATTACCTAGGAACAACTTAATGATTTGTAATAATGACTCTGAATAGGGTCCCCAAACCCAGCCACCCTAGCATTTAGCTGGCTGTCCTAATGATTCTTGATGCACACTTAATATCTAAGATAAAAATAATCACTTCAACTTACCCTCCTGAGAGAACAGGTAACACCACTCGAACAAAGGGAGGATCAAACGGAAAGTTATCCTGAAAAGCACAAGTTTAATTTTAGGAACATCCTCAATACTATACTATTGAGAAGATGTTAAAATAACTTAGAAAGCTGTATAGACACATGTATGATCTGATCAAAAGCAGATAGAAAGCCATCTACAGGAGCTGGGAGTGTAGCTTGGTGATAGAGTGCTCACCTAGCATGCATGCGGCCCCTGGGTTCAATTCTTTGGTTACCACATAAATAAGTAAAATTTTAAAAAGAGAACCATCTATAAAATGGCATATTGAAACTCAAATGTCAGCACCAACACTAAATGCAGTGGACCAAGTGCTTCAATTATAAGTCAAAGATCATAGCTACTCATGCATAGAAGTCTGAGGTCACCCTAGGCAAAGGCTGAGTGATTGAGACCACATCTCACAAGGTGGGCAGTACAGAGAATGTTCAGTTATGAAGAAAATAGGTAGAACACTAGATTATGCAGAATAAGCCAGACTCAGAAAGACAAATACTAGTAGAGCTGTGGCTCAAAGAGGTAGAGCACTGGCCTTGAGCATAAAAGCTCAGACCCTGACTTCAAGTCCCCCAAGACTGGTCCAAAAGGCAAGAAGGTAAGAAAGTAGGGAAGGAAGGAGGGAAGAAGGGAGGGAAAAAAGCGGGACACTGGTGACTCTCACCCGTAATCCTAGCTACGCAGGAGGCTGAGATCTGAGAACACAGTTTGAAGCCAGCCAGGGCAGGACAATCTGTGAACCTCTCATCTCCAATAAACTAACTCAGAAAAAGCCAGAAGTGGTGCTGTGGCTCAAGTAGTAGCAAAAGACAAAGAGACAGCTCAGGAACAGTGTCTAGGCCCTGAGTTCAAGCATTAGTACAGGTAAAAAGTAGGAAAGGAAGGAGGAGAGCAGGGAGGGCAGGCAGGCAGGCTAAATACTGCCAGTTATCTCTATTATTCAGAAGCTACATCTAAAGAAAAATGGCATTAAGGTAAAGGAAAGATTGCTGGGGGAGGAAGCAGCAGGAGATGGGAGGGGAATGAGTGAAAGTAGAGAGCCGGGCGCTGGTGGCTCACGCCTGTCATCCTAGCTACTCAGGAGGCTGAGATCTGAGGATCATGGTTCAAAGCCAGCCCCGGCAGGAAAGTCCGTGAGACTCCTATCTCCAATAAACCACCAGAAAACTGGAAGTGGCGCTGTAGCTCAAGTGGTAGATCTCTAGTCTTGAGCTGAAGAGCTGAGGGACAGCGTGCAGGCCCAGAGTTCAGCCCCATGCCAGACAAAAAAAAAAAAAAGGGAGAGAAGGTAGAGGAGAATTCAAGTATGCATATATATGTGAGAGACTGCAGTAAGATTTTTGTAAGGGGTGGGAGAAAGAGTGTACTTTTTCGAGTAGCAGAAGAGGTGATGATGGCCAAAGTACACTACATCCTGTGTAGAAACATCACAAGCACTCTCCACACTGCACAACTAATACGCACTAATTTAAATAAGTGGAGGTTGGGGCAGCAGGCAGGAAGGCATACACTTGTGGCCGAAAATGCCTGGGAGGCTGAGGTAGGCAGAGCCCAGCTCAAGGATCAGGGATCAGGGATCAAGCTCAGGCAAAGTGAATTGGGAGACCTCATCTGAAAAACGAAAGACTAGGGCATGGCTCAAGCAGAACCACGCCAGGCCCCAAGTCCAGTCCTCCGTTAAGCAGGTCGGGAGAAAGATCGTCAGACTTAACAACAACGAAGGAAGATGAGCTCGCGGGTGAGAATAAACCTCGACACTTCTCAGACTAATAAGCACAGTTCTTTCCACAGTCTTAGTTCTGGAAATAGATTCCAGAGAATGAAAGTATCATGTCACTACAAACTGAAGCCGAGATGCCAACGCAGCACTAGAGCACAACTGCTTGCTGGACAGATGGCCAAGATGGCGGCTGCCCTTCACCTTCCTGACGCAGCAAGGAAACAGACACGCCCTGCCTCTCATCCGGAGAGGCCAGGGAACCTGAAGAGAAACTGTCTCCAGGGCTGATGCCCCAACAATATGGACTCACGGAAACTAATGCATTCTTAAAGCCAGTTTGTTCCATCCAGCCATTTCCAAGCCCGCAAACACACAGGTTTAAACTGGAAGGAACAATAAGCAGCAAAAGAGCCAGGTGCCAGTGGCTCATGCCTGTAATGCTAGCGACTCAGGAGGCTGAGATCTGAGGATCAAGGTTCAAGGCCAGCCGGGACAAGAACATCTGTTAGACTCTTATCTCCAATAAATCACCAGAAAACCAGAAGTGGCATTGTGACTCAAGTGGTAGAGCGCTTGCTTTGAGCTGAAGAGCTGACCCCTGACCAACACACACACACACACACACACACACACACACACACACACACACACACACACACACCACATGCGTGTGCACATACACACGCACGCACAGCAAAACCTCAGCTATTTTCTCTGACCTCCTCCCTCAGATGAACTCCAAAGAAGGAAGGAAGGTTCACAGCAGGGTAAGCCAGAAGGCCAAACCAAGAAATGGGGCTGAAAGTCACCTGAGTTTAAGAATGCAGAAGATGGGGCTGGGAAGGTGGCTCAGTGGTAGAGTGCTTGCCTTGCATGCCTGAGGCCCTGGGTTCTATTCGTCAGCACCACATAAGCAAAAAGAAAAAAGCCAGAAGTGGCGCCGTGGCTCAAGTGGTAGAGCGCTAGCCTTGAGCTGAAGGGCTGAGGGACAGCGCCCAGGCCCAGAGTTCAGGCCCACAACCGGACCCCAAAAAAAAAACAATGCAGAAGATGGGCTGGGAAGGTGGCTCAGTGGTAGAGTGCTTGCCTAGCATGCATGAAGCCCTGGGTTTGATTCCTCAGCACCACATACACAGAAAAGGCCAGAAGTAGCACTGTAGCTCAAGAGCTAGTGCACTGGCCCTGAGTAAAAGCAGCTCAGGGACAGCGCCTAGGCCCTCAGTTCAAGCCCCAGGACTGGCAAAAAAAAAAGAATGCAGAAGACCTGAATTCTTTGCCATCATTCACCCAGTGCTTTCAGATATTAACTGAGATACAATGCTCCTGAATAATTTGATCTGGGAATACAAAGTGCCTGCTGTTCTACAAATCTGTAGCCAGGAAGAATGCCGTAAAAAGGACAAAAAGCAATAGCCATGTCACAAGACTGTCAGGCCCACTATGACCCTCTGCCTGAGGCTTTGGTGACAGTATCACAATGAGATAGTCTAAAGATGCTTGAAAACAATATATGTAAATATGTATACAATATATGCATTCCTGTATATGTTATATATACAAAATATATTTTATATAACCTATAGAGTATATATGTGATATGTGTATATATCCATATATATGTGTGTGTGATGTGTGTATATATCCATATGTATCAGATATATGGATCTAGATATATATACATATGGATATATACACACACATCACACACACATAAATATGTATATACACACACACATATGTTTCCTTTGATTTCTGGAAAGAGGGAAGCTGGGGGACTCCATCTCATCTTCCACAGTGACATGAGAAACACAAAAATTATGACCATTCAGCTGGGCTTGCCTATAATCCTAGGTACTCAGGAGGTAGAGATCTGAGGATTGAGGTTCAAAGGTAGCCTGGGCAGGGAAGTCTGTGAAACTCTTATCTCCAATTAACCACAAGAAAACCAGAAGTGGCCGTATGGCTCAAGTGGTAGAGTGCTACCTTTGAGCAAAAAAGCTCAGGGGCAGTGCACCTAGGCCCTGAGTTCAAGCCCTCCCAACAACCAAAAAAAAAAAGAAAAAGAAAAGAAAATTTAATCCTCTTGGCAAAGGAACAAAAAGCAAATATAATAGATCATCTCAGATTTCTATTGCAAATCAGAAAATCTACAGGCACAGTTACCAACTTAATGACTATTATAATCTCCTTTATGATCTTAATTTGACAGCATAATGAAAGGCAGGGATAGAGAGCTTGAAGAAGTGGAACTTCATTCACTCTCCTGTTATTTATATCTTCGAATATGTGTTGAGATCTACCTTTGTGTTAAGAAATCCTTTAAAACTGGGTGCTGGTGGCTCGGGCCTGTAATCCTAGCTACTCAGGAGGCTGAGATCTGAGGATCGTGGTCAAAGCCAACCTGGGCAGGAAAGTCTGTGAGACTCTTATCTCCAATAAACCACTAGAAAACTGGAAGTGGTGCTGTGGCTCAAGAGGTAGAGAGCCTTGAGCTGAAGAGCTGAGGGATAGCCCTCAAGCTGAGTTCAAGATTTTTAAAAAGGTAGAGATCACTGCTAAAATGAAGGTTTGAACTTGAGTTTAAGCTTCAGTTAGTATCCTAACTCAGAAACAGAATCAGGCTTTTTACAAGGATCTTAACGTTACCTGATTGCCAATCAGAGGCGCTGACCTTCTAGCTGTTTGTTGTTTGTTTTATACAGTATACTACTGAGGATTGAATTTAGGGTCAGGCTTTACCACTTGACCTATCATTCATTCTTTTTTTTTACTTTGGTTTTTTAGCTAGGATCTCTTGCCACCTAGAGATGGAGCTGGCCTCCAACTATGATTCTACTGTCTCCCTCCACCTCCTGAGTAGCTGGGATTACAGGCATACATTTTGCTACTTCTTCTGTTTGGGGTTTGGTTGGTTTTTTTGGCAGCCATAGGGTTTGAACTCAGGGCCTCACGCTTGCTAAGCAGGCACCCTAACCAAGTGAGTCTGTTATTCTCAAGATAAAGTCTTACTCTATGCCTCAACTACGATCCTATTTGTGTCTCCCTTTGTCACCAAGATGAAAGGCGCATCACCTCTTGCCCACCTCTCAGATGGAATCTGAGCCTCAGCCCAGGCTGGCCTCAATCATCACACCCCAATCTCTGCCTCCCAATCTCTGCGTAGCCATTTTTTATGCTAATTCAGACATGCATATGCTTTGCTCAGAATAATTCCCCATTGCTCTCTCTTCCCTGGCTCTCAATTGCTTATCGGCCCCAGCTTCCACTGGGGACCCTTCACTGCACACAGAGCAGCACTGATTGTGAAACTATTCATCCTCCATTCTTTTCTCTCTTCCCTTCCTCTCACCCTCTTTCATAGAGCGTTCTACTTTTGAAAGACCCTGAATAGTTACAAACCCCTTCCTTACTACCGAGTTGACTTGAGTTGAAAACTGATCTTTATCACTTGACTTTTGGTTCTGGGTATATGCCCTGTGTTCATCGAATAAACAAATAAACTCATGTTTCCCAATCTACAGTCCTTCAAATAGTTAAAGACAAGTTACCACAAACCAGCCATGTTCTTCCTAGCACATCCACAATCCGCCCAGCTCTGAAGTCACAGAGTCACCTCTTCCCAACCCTCACTACTCCCTAAGTAAGTATGAGTTTGTTCCTATAAACCCTTTTTTTTTTAAAGGAATAGATAGCCACATGAAGAGGCAGTGAGCCCACCTCTGAAGTACAGACATGAGCCTTAGGTTTAAATAGAGAATGGACTTTGGGTGGGGATGAAGGGCATGAGTGATCATTAAATAGCACTGGGCTGCCTGGTCACGATCTGGTCGTCACTTGGAAGGAGCTGTGGAGAGGCTGTCATCGCTGGACAGCTTGGGGTTTGGGGAACCCTCCTGTGAGAGCTATCTGTCCATCCATCCAACCAGAGCCTGGGGTGCAGGGAACCCTCCCATGAGAGTTATCTGTCCATCCATCCATCCGTCCATCCATCCGTCCGTCCGTCCTGTCCTGTCCTCCCAGGATCTCAAGGTGGCTGCCAGGTGAGCGGCTCAGAGCAAAATGGAGACAGAGGCCCAGCTTCCCTCCTTCTCTTAGTGAATGTACAGGCCAAGTAAGGAGTCAGTACTTTCCAGCAAAAGCAGTTGAGTTATACGAAGGCTTCTTGAAGTTCTACCTCAGAACTCAATTTAGATGTGGTCTGAAAAGTCAGAAGTCATTTCCCTTTCTTTCTGGGGTCTGAAGCAGTGTTTCATCCTTGAAAGGCAGGTGCCACCATCAGTTGAGCCAGGAGTGCAGGACTTGGTTCTAGCTATTTCGAGCTAGGGTCTCTTTTGGCGCACCCTGGTGCTCTCCTACTTATGACAGGCACTGCCACCATGTCCACTTGGGGTGAGGACTGGTTAACTTTGTTCCCGCAGGCTGGCCTGGCACCACAGTCCTCCTGACTCTGGCCTCCTGCGCGGGTAGGATGCCAGACACACGTCACTGCACCCAGCTCCTGGTTGGAAGAGGTCTTCCAAGCTTTTTTCCCTGGCTAGCTTCAACCGTGATCCCCTCTATCGCTACCTCCTGAACTGCTAGGATGAAAAGCAGAAGTGCAGGCTCACACAGATTGCTTGCTGCGGGCGAGGCCACGCTCCTATGCTTACTCTGGCTTTCAGCTATGGCAGCCACGCTTCCAGACATGCTCAGTTTCAGCACCTTCCGTGACGCGCTCTCTCTGAGTCTTAGCTGCTATCCTCCAAAGTCTGCCAAGCCCCACACTTGGCAACTTAGTGATTCAGCTTCGGGGCACCTCACAAGGTCAGTAAACCTGAGTCAAGCGCGCTCTCTTCCCAGTGCTCTGAAAGAATACTAGGCCCTTCTATCCAGAGCTATCATCCAGAAACACAAATCCAACAGACTATCAGTCACTTCCCGTCTCGCCACGCATACCCTAATGTTCTCACCAGCATAGGAAAAAATAATAAAAGCACTGCCTGTAGTCTCTGGCTTCTCGGAGGTTTGGCATTTATTGTCTTACCTTGGCTATTCACGGACTATCTCATAAAATCAGTACAAGTGAAAAGCTGTCAGCATCTTCAGTGAATATATGCCAGATTCACGTTCCAGGAAGACACATCAGCTGACAAGCACAGAGTTTGAGCAGGAACAACAATGAAAGAAAACACAGACTTTGGGGCTATTTCAAGAAAGTAGTGGTTGGACAAGATGGTCATGCCTGTAATCCCAGCTATTGCAGGAGGCTGAGATAGGAGGATTAGAATTCAAGACCAGCATGGGTGAAAAAAAAGTCAACAAGACTATCTCAAAAAACAAACTGATCTAAGAGGCTATCTTGTACAGAAATACAAGATCCTATCTGACCAATAAACTATAGCAAAAAGGGATGGGGTAGGATTCAAATGGCCTTTCCTGCTACACACAGCTATGTCCTGTTTTATGAATACCATAATTCTCCATTTTTTGGAACATGGGATAATTTTTCTCTAGGGTATAACAATGCTATCCTGAATAGATGTAGGTTTGTGTAGGTATATGCATGTGTGTGTAATCTATCTATCTATCTATATGTATATATATAAGGTATTCATATATATGTATGCATATCTATCTAGAAATACATTGCCATAAAGACATATAAAACTGTGTCTCCTGGTGTGTCTAGGTGCTCCCTGCACTTAGTTCGGAGAATTTCTGAACTACCTGATAGGAGTATCTTCTATTTTACCAGATAATGCCAAACTGTTTTCCAAGGCCACTGGCATAAATACACACTCTCATTAGAAGCATATGGAACTCCATTCCTATTTTCTTACCTTAAAAGAGAAGCAAAGCAAAATATATTCTATGCCTTCTTTTTCCTTTAGGATCTGAAGATCGCTGTGCAGAGGACTATCAGGGTCCACCCTAGGAACAGCAAAACAAAAGCCAATTCAAAGCAGGTTAGCGAACCTTCCCAAGGGAACTCAACCAAGAGAACTGCTCCAGGGCCCCAGGAGGCTCCAGGCCTGAGCTGTAAGTGGGCGCTGCAGGCAGGACCACCTCTCCACAACTGGGGACACACACACAGAGCAACTCCAGCACTGGAGATCTACAAGTCAGCAGTCCTTCTAAAAAGAAACAGGCGCATGGACAGAATTGTCTCAAGAACTCAAAAAATATAAATAAAGTAATAATATGCTTCCAAAAAAATTGTGTTACTAGCCAAGAGGCTCAAGGACAGGGATCTGCTGCTGGTAAGACCATCAAGTCAAATCATCATGAAACTGAATTGTCTACAGGTGTTCCATAAACACGGATGCCACAAAGACACTTCTGTTTCCAATTTGCCATTGTCTCAAGAACTCCATACAACACTATCTCATGGCAATATATACTCCTCCGCTCTTACTTAACTGTGAAGCCTCAGAAATAGCTCCTTTTGCTGGGTGCCAGTGGCTCATACCTGTAATCGTAGCTTCTCAGAAGGCTGAGATCAGGTTTGTGATTTAAAACCAGACTAGGCAGGAAAGTCTGTGAGACTCTTAATCTCCAATTAACCACCAGAAAACCAAAAGTGTGGCTCAAAGTGGTAGAGCACTGGCTTTGAGCAAAAGAGCTCAGGGACAGAGCCAGGCCTGAGTTCAAGCCCCAGTACAAATAGAAGGAAGGGAGGGAAATAGAGAGGGAGAGAGGGGGGAAAAAGGGAAGAAAGGAAAGGAGGTAAGAAGGGAAGAAAAGAGGGAAGGAGGAAGGGAGGGAGGGAGGGAACAGAAGGAGGAAGAGAGGGAGGGAGAAAGGAAGGAAGGGCTGAAAGTCTAAATATCTAAACACCAAAGTGCACAGGCAACACTCTGGGAAGAGGAGACCCTCGGCTGGGAGCGTCACGCCTGGATCGGGTGCTTACTTGTGAAGTTTCACATGCCAGTTGTACAGGCTGTCGTTTATGAGCTCCACTGAGTACATCCCTGTGAAGACACAGACATGGTGGTCACGCATCCTGAGGCCCTACAACTACCATGCTGAAGTAAGTACATAAAGGAAGGCAACAAGCTAGACTGTAACTACCACAGGAACTAAATGCCTTCACGGAGAGTTACAGCCCACAATTAAGGGGATTCTTTAATGAAATTCACAAACTCCTTATTATTAACAATTTCATTCTATCTCCTATATCTTCCAGAATATTCCATCCAGTTCCATAAGGACACCGTCAGGAGGGCAGAAGAGCAGAGCCCAGTGAGCACAGACCCCACAGGCCCTTACCTGACTTGTAGCTCTGCGATCTATATATGTCCCTGAGTTCTTTCATGAGTCTATCTGAAGCTTGCACTGAACCACACACGGCACCCTGAAACATAAAAGTGCTGTTAACATACTCCACTGAGTCAAATCGAAAGATTTAAAGTATTTGAACCTGTTATCAACAAAAGCTTACAATGACTTGTAAAACCAGATCGCCCCTCAACGTTAAGACAAAATAGGAGCCGGGCGCCGGTGGCTCACGCCTGTAATCCTAGCTACTCAGGAGGCTGAGATGTAAGGATCACAGTTCAAAGGCAGCCTGGGCAGGAAAGTCTGTGAGACTCTTATTGCCAATAAACCACTAGAAAACCGGAAGTGGCATTGTAGCTCAAGTGGTAGACCACTCACCTTGAGCTGAAGAGTGCAGGGACAGTACCTAGGCCAGAGTTCAAGCCCCACGACCAACAACAACAACAAAAAGACAAAATAGGCTGGACACTGATGCTCACGCTTGTAATCCTAGTTACTCAGGAGGCTGAGATCTGAGCATCAGGGTTCAAAGCCAGCTTGGGCAAGAAAGTCTGTGTGACCCTTATCTCCAATGAACCACCAAAAGACTAGAAATGATGCTATGGCTCAAAGTGGCAGAGCTCTAGCCTTGAGCCCAGGGACAGCACTCAGGCCCTGGGTTCAAGCTCCACTAGAAACCCCTCATCCTGACATATTGAATGAGAAGATTGATTTTGGTTTGGTCTGGGCAGGACAAAGCGAAGGCCAGTTTCATAGAGGAGAAAGACGCTGAATCTCAACACATGAAGGCCACGTCTGAGGGTAGGTGTGAGGATGAAGTATACACAGAGGTCCAGTGATCTGCACAGGGCACACAGCGGCTGTCGGCTGTCAGCAGACCAGAGAACTAAACCAGGCCAGAGTCCTAGCTGTTAACCACAGCACTGAACCCACCACCAAGAATGGAATGGGGAAGGAGAAACTGAGGAGCTATCATATTTTAGTTTAGCTTTTTGCTTGTTTTAGATTTCGAACAGGGTCTTGGTACATAGCCCGGGCTAACCTGTAACACAATCTATGACCTCACCCTCCCAAGTGCTGAGATTACAGGTGTGGACCATCATGCCCAGCTGAGACTGGTACCTCCCCCTTCCCACCCTACCTCACCCTCCATACTGGGGCTTACACTCTTGCTTGGCTTGCTTGTTCACAGCTGGTGCTTTACCACCTGAGCCATACCTTCAGCCTGGCTTTTTTTTTTTTTTTTTTTTTTTGGGTCCGGTTGTGGGGCCTGAACTCTGGGCCTGGGCGCTGTCCCTCAGCTCTTCAGCTCAAGGCTAGCACTCTACCACTTGAGCCACAACGCCACTTCCAGCTTTTTTCTTTTTGCTTATGTGGAGCTGAGGAATCGAACCCAGGGCCTCAGGCATGCAAGGCAAGTGCTCTACCACTGAGCCACCTTCCCAGCCCCAGCCTGGCTTTTTACAAGTTAAGAGATGGAATCTCGCTGGGCACCGATGGCTCACGCCTGTAATCCTAGCTACTCAAAAAGCTAAAATCTGAGGATCACGGTTCAAATCCAGCCCAGGCAGGAAAAGTCCATGAGACTCTTATCTCCACTCAGAAAACTGGAAGTGGCACTGTGGCTCAAGTGGTAGAGTGCTAGCTTTTTTTTTTTTTTTTTGGGGGGGGGGGAGGGGTCCAGTCGTGGGGCCTGAACTCTGGGCCTGGGCACTGTCCCTCAGCTCTTCAGCTCAAGGCTAGTGCTCTACCACTTGAGCCACAGTGCCACTTCCGGCTTTTTTCTTTTTGCTTATGTGGCGCTGAGGAATCGAACCCAGGGCCTCATGCATGCTAGGCAAGCGCTCTACCACTGAGCCACCTTCCCAGCCCCGAGTGCCAGCTTTGAGCTGAAGAGCTGAAGGACAGCGTTCAAGCCCAGAGTTCAAGCCCTATGACCCACAAGAGAGAGGGGGAGGGGAGAGTTTTGAGGAATTTCCGGCTGGCTTGGAACCTCAATCCTCCTGCTTTCTAACCTATTGAGTAGCTACAGATTTACAACCATGAGCCATCAGCTCCTGGAAAGACTGGAGTCTCAATGAAGTGCCAGTGTCACACATAAACATAAATCTGGGTTCCAGATTTTTACCCACTTACATTTAAGTGGTCTTGCCTTTGAGTTTTCCTAATTTTCTCTAATATTGCTAAATTTTCTTTTTCAATTCCTTCATCCTCTGCCATTTTCCCATTTACAAGCTCTTCTTCCTTCATCTCGTAGTGATCCAAGTCTTCTATATCCTGCAAAAAGAGTTAAATCATTAGCTCTTCCAGTTACTTTTCTCTGGGACTTTATACATTCTTGACTAGAAAAGAAAAGGCACAGGAAAAGAGACCTGTAAATTCTACAATGAACCTTCAGAGCGGAGGGACCTGTCCTTCAGTATCCAGTATTTGCTGAACAACTTTGCATAGTCAAGGCCATTACCAAATACACTACTTTTATGAAAGCACACATAAATAGCAGAGGGAGCGTCATCATGATCATTCTGAAGCTGCACACAGTGCACGTGAAGCCGCTCTCTCCACCCCTCGCCTCCCTCCCAGCTGCTAGTAGTATATGGCAGGTCTCGTCCTGTTCATCGTCTAATCATTCCCAAGGATTTACTCTTTCCTGTGTCTTCCTGTGAGCTCTGGAAGCAGAACTTCTGCATAGATCATTCAGAGGTCAGGAATTCCTTTAGCTTTTGTTTGTCACGAAAGGTTTGTTGCTTTTCGGGTTTTTTGGTTTTTGGTGCCAGTCCTGGGCTTGAACTCAGAAGCCAAATAAACTACTAAGAAGAAAACCACATGGGCTGGGGAGGTGGCTCAGTGGTAGAGCGCTTGTCTTGCATGCATGAGGTCCTGGGTTCAATTCCTCAGCACCACATAAGCAAAAAAAAAAAAAAAAAGCCAGAAGTGGCACTGTGGCTCAAGTGGTAGAGTGCTAGCCTTGAGCTGAAGAGCTGAGGGACAGCACCCAAGTCAGAGTTCAGGCCCCACAACCAGACCTAAAAAAAAAAGAAAAAAAAAACACAAATAGCACTGTGGCTCAAGTGGTAGAGTGCTAGCTTTAAGTAAAAAGAAGCTCAGGGACAGCATCCAGGTCTTGAGTTCAAGCCCTAGTTTTTTTTTTTTTTTTTTTTTGGGGGGGGGGAATGGGATGGGACCAGAGAATAACAAAAAAGAAGATGTCTGTGAAATGCGATTCATACATAAATACCTACTTCCACCATCTCTTCCTCCTCCTCCTCTTCTGAGGTCACCTCTTCCGTTGCTCCATTCTGAAACAGAAAAAATTTGCCAGGGCTACACATGCCACATACCACAGAATACACACACACACACAAAACTTCTCTCACTTGGGCTCTACTGACAGACAGCTTATTAAAAGATGAACACTTATTTTTAGAGATTTTTTTTTTTTTTTGGTCGGTCATGGGGCTTGAGCACTGTCCCTCAGCTCTTCAGCTCAAGGCTAGCACTCTACCACTTGGGCTACAGCACCACTTCCAACACTTATTTTTAAAGCCAGATAATAGTTACCAGCTTCTTAAAAAAAGAATCCATTCTGGTTTTATTGCTGTTATTGTATTGTTTGTGTGTGTGTGTGTGTGTATGTGTGTATGTATGCGCATGTGCACGCACACACGCGCACGCCAGTCCTGGCATTTGAACTCGGCATAGACACTGTCCCTGAGCTTTTTTCACTCAAGGCTGGCACTCTATCACTTGAACCACAGCTCCACTTCTGGCTTTTTGGTGTTTAGCTGGAAATAAGAGTCTCACAGCCTTTCCTCCCAGGCTGGCTTTGAACCCTGATCCTTAGATCTCAGCCTCCTGAGTAGTAGGATTACAGATGTGAGACCCTGGTGCCTGGCTAGAATCTATTCTGAATAATTCAATGTAATAGTTGTCTTAGGAACAAAGACAACTGGTCATATATTAATAAAGGCAACAAGTATTTTTAAAAATTTAAAAATATGAAAATTTTATTTATATAGCTATATGTATATGATTCTGTTTATAATGAATACTCCAAACTGATTCCTGAAGTGGCAACCTTTTTTACTTGAAATGCTTTAAGTTGTATATAAATTCAACTGACTTACATTTTAAAAGCTCAGGCATGATAGAGGAACAGAAACTTCGTAAAACTAAGTATAATGAGCATATGCTGGATGCTGGTGGCTCACATCTATCGTTCCAGATCCTCAGTAGGCTAAGATCTGAGGATCACAGTTCAAAGCCAACCTCTACAGAAAAGTCCCTGAGACTCTTATCTCCAATCAACCAGCAAAAAGTCACAAGTGAAGCTGTGGCTCAAATGCACCAGCCTTGAGAGGAAGAACTAAGGGACAGTGCCCAGGCCCAGAGTTTAACCCTCAGTACCCCTCCCTACCCCTAAAAAAGTTGAAAATAACAATCACATTCAAGAGTAAATTTTCTTTTTGAAAGTATGTTATTTACTACAGGATATGTCTCTATAGACCACAACTCACTGTTGATTCACAAATAACTTCAATGGACTTTTAGGAAAGGCTTTCATGTCCAGGCTTGGCAAAATTCCAAAATACAAGATTCCTAAGGACAAGGCACAGAAACATGTCTCTAACCATCAGCATGGCTTAAGTTGGGATCCTGAATATTTCAAAGATCTAGACACAAAATTAAGCCAACCAGGATCTCAGCAGTGCACACGCATCTGTAACACTGTGATTCTTAAGAAAACCATGACTTGGGGGTTGGTGAGCCGGATGCACACACCAATGCAACGAGCCAGAAGGTTTGCACCAGACTGTAGTGAGCACAGGAAGGAAGATGAGGGAACCTCTTGTTCCCCAGGGGGTTTTGTATCTGAACAACACACCTGCCCTAAAGGTACCTAGCACAGGTGAGGTGCACGCTTTTGAACATGAGCGTTTCAGAACTGACCCCCGAGAATTTCAAGAATCATTTCAAAGTAATTCAGGTGTGTAGACCACCAAGTCAGGGTCCAGTAAACCCATCTTTTTTGTTGTTGTTGGTTTTGGGGCTTGAACTCTGGGCCTGGGTGCTTTCCCTTGAGCTCTTCAGCTCAAGGCGAGTGCTCTACCACTTCTGGTGGTTCATTGGAAATAAGAGTCTCATGGACTTTACTGCCTGGTCTGGCTTTGAACCACGATCCTCAGATCTCAGCCTTCTGAGTAGCTAGGATGACAGGCATGAGCCACCAGTGCCTGTCCTGGCCCTTCATTTTTACAAAGGAATAATAAAGCCCCGCCACCTAAAGATGAGAGTGAAGGGAGTGAAATCCTAAGACGAATCCCACTCAGCTGTAATGCAGCCTTCCTTCCAAGACCCACAGAAAGGACGGGGACCAATTGTAAGCTCATTGTTGTCGGAACGAAGCAGCAAAGGGGACCGGAAAGGGCTGAGAGGCAGGAAGGCTCAGGCAGGTGGGTCCAGGCTGCAGCCAGAGCTCCACGCTAGAGCTTGGAGGTGTGGCTCACTGGGTAGAGTGCTAGCCAATGAGAACAAATGGCAGGCACCGAGTCCTGAGCACGGATCTAAGGGGAATAAAAAGATAAGAGCAGGCCAGGTCTGACACAGGTAGAGAGGAGGACCCCTGGAAACCGTCACAGGATTCGTCTCCGCTGCTGTACCTGGCCCCCACACCTGGTAAGGATTCCCCTCCACAGGACACCTCTTGGGGTGAGAGAGGCACAGAGAAAAGACACGCTGCTGTTGTAACTTATTGCTCCTTAACCATCTGGGGCGACTGGGCTATTTCCCGCCAGCCACAGCCAGAGCACGGATCTATCCGCCTCGCAGAAGGGAGACACGCGGCCCAGCACCCAGCACCGCGAACGCGCGCAGGCGAGAGACACAGACCAGCACCGCCCATGCGCGGCAGCGGCTGCAACCAGCTCTAGAAAACTGCCACGCTGACAAGGCCAACGAGGGCCTGGAAGCACGACCAGGGAAGAAAATCAAATGACTAGAAAATCTCCTTGGACCATTTAACAATAGTTTTGTGAAGCTACTACTACATCCCCCTCCCCACGAAAGAGAAAGAGAGAGAGAGACAGACAGAGAACGCACGGAAGGAAGGAAGGAAGGAAGGAAGGAAGGAAGGAAGGAAGGAAGGAAGGAAGGAAGGAAGGAAGGAAGGAAGGAAGGAAGGAAAGAAGGAAGGAAGGAAGGAAGGAATCCTTATGTGAAGGGCAAGAAATTTCTGAAAAAAAAATGCAAAGATTTTTTAAAGAGAGCCAGTTGTTAGTGGCTCGCTGTCATCCTAGCTACTCAGGAGGCTGAGATCTGAGGCTCACAGTTCAAAGCCAGCCTGGGGAAGAAAGTCCGTGAGACTCTTTATCTCCAATAAACCAGCAGAAAACCGAAGTGGCACTGTGGCTCAAGTGGTAGAGTGCTCGGCTTGATCTGAAGAGCTGAAGGACAGCGCCCAGGCCCAGAGTTCAAGACCCACAACCGACCAAAAAAAAAAAAAAAGGGAGAGAGAGAGAGATTTTAAAGAGAGGAAAGGGAGAAACAAATGTAGAGAGCTAACCAGAGGGCAGTGGACTTCATGGAACTAGGTGTGTTTAAGAAGACAAAATTGAAACAAGACCTTCAATATGGCTGAAAGATGACCAGAGAATTAAAAACAAAAGAATAGTTAAGGGACATGTAAAACAGGAATCTAGAGATTCAATATTCATTAACAGGACACAGGAAGAGTAAGAGGAGTAAGGCAGGCTCCAGTGGCACACGCCTCCTAGCTACTCAGGAGGCTGAGACCTGAGGATCACTGTTTAAAGCCAGCCCCAGCCCTAAGCAGGCATGTCTATGAGACATGAAAAAATAATAATAAATTATAATCTTCAGAGCAGTAAAAAGAAATCCAAAAATAAAGCATTATACCCATTCTAATGATGTTCATTATGGGAATACAAGGATGATTTATAAGGACATTTTGTTATGTAACTCAGAAACTATGTTCTATTATCCACATAAGACCAGAGCCACAGTCCTGCAACTCAAGGGAGGCAATGGAACACCCAGGTATCCAACAGACACACACTCTATGGAAAAGTACACAGCCAAGAAAGACAAATGAAATCATGTAATCTGCAGGAAAATGGACACAATTGGAGGACATCATGCTGAATGAGACCAGCCAAGCTCAAAAAAGAAAGTACTGTATGTTTTCACTCATATGAGACATACGTAGTCCCACAAATGTACATACAATGCACATACAAATATACCCATTTGCATAATATATATGTGTGTGTGTATATATAATATACATGGATAAACAAAGAATATGAATCTAAGGGACTACTTAAGAAGAAACAAGAGGGGAAAGAGAAAAAGTATGAATAATTTTGAAATACATTTAGAAAGAGGATGAATACCACTGCAATAGATTATTTCCAACTATGAAAACTGAAGAAATCTGCTTATACTGTTTTGGGATAAGGGAAGGAGAAAGGAGACTGACAAAGGGGTGAGATTAATATCAACATATTGCACAAAACTGAAACAGTGAAATCCCCTTTTGTTTAACTAACATTAGCAAAAGCAAGCAAACAAACAAACAAAGGCTGGGTGCCAGTAATCCTAACTACTCAGGAGACTGAGAGCTGAGGATAATGGTTTGAAGCCAGCTCAGGCAAGGTTGTGAGATTCTTGTCGCCAATTAACCACAAAAAGCCAGAAGTAGAGCTGTGGCTCAAGTGGTAGAGTATAAGCCTTGAGCAAAAGAACTCAGGGACAGTGCCCAGGACCTGAGTTCAAGCCCAGAACCAGCCACCACGACCACCACCAACAAACCAGCAAGGCAGGTAGATAGACACGCATTAGTTAGGTCATCACTGAGGAATTGGGTAATGAGGCACACAGTAGCTAGGTGTCACCCAACAGCGGAAGCAAACAATCAGCAGAACCAAGATGCACACCCACTGTTGTCCAGATTGTGATTTTTTTCAGAAGCTGGAACCCCAAGAGTACACTAGTTCTCCATACTTCCTCAAGCTTTTACTTCAGAATATGCTCAAGACAAATTGTGAAATGAGCTCTCAGCCAAGAATCCAGGAAATGATGGATTCCACTCTAGGAGATCAGACAAGAAAACCCTTGGGGTGATAGCTGCACATCCCCCCCAGAGGCCCACCTACCAAGATCCATCAAAAGAGCCAGGGGGTCCAGAAGAGAGGGACCACAGAAAGAGAAAAAACATAATTCTTTAATATCCCCCAACTAAGAATCACTCAGGAAGACGCTGCAAAATAAAAAGCCATACCAGAAGGGCAGGATGGCAAGGGAGGCCTGGTGAGGAACCAGTGCTTCAGGACAGGCGTAGGTGTACGTGGTGTAAGAGCTGAGTCCTCAGGGACTGGAGTGAAAGTCAGGAACGGATGCCTGGATAGGCAGAGCAACAGGTTGGGCCAGGGGGAGGGGCCAGAGGACAGTCCTGACACTTGAGGTACCAGACTTGGGGCAGATGGACTTCAGGTGAAGGTAACTGACTAGACACAGGCTGAGGGTGGGGAGCATTTATGGAAATCAGGAACACAGTCAAAACCAATACACTGGGTTGGGGAGCAGTGCTTGGAGCTCTCACAGAAACAGCAGCAGCTCCTAAGAATGGGAAGGTTATTTCTAGCAATCTACAATAAAACCAAGCAAGGCCCAGGAACACAAAAGCCCCACTTTTCTAAATGAAGTTGTGTGAGGATTAAAAGAAAAATCATAGCATCGGTTGAGACAGTTCATTTCAGCTTGTGAACACTGGAGAAGCATTACTTTACCTGACCCGTGGGGAGTGGCTGATCTAGCATCTCAACATCCAGGTGTTTAGGGAGGTTATATAATCTGCAGAGTTCACATATCAACCACTTCAATTGCTGACGAAGCTACAAAACACATTTCAGTAAATAAGCATTATGTTAAAAGGAGCCTTACAAGACATTGAATAATGCTACAACTACTGTATCAATCCACAAGAACCTGACAACCCCTTTCCTGCTCAATGAGGCCTACAGGGGACAGTTAGGCTTTAAGGTATTTTCAAGGGCTGCTAATATAAGAAAATACTATTAAAAAAATAAAAGAGCCATGTTCTGGTGCTCATGTCTGAGTGGGTAGTTCTACTCAGGAGGCTGAGATCTGCGGATCGTGGTTCAAAGCCAGCATGGGCAGGTAAGTCTGTAAGACTCATCTCCAATAAAGTTCCAAAAAGTTAGAAGTGGTAGATCATTACCCTTGAGCAAAAGAGCTCAGGGACAGTGCCCAGGCCTTGAGTCCAAGCCCAGGACTGGTACCAAAAAATAACAAAAAAGCAAAACCAAGTTGCACTGGCTAGACTCTAAACCCTACAACTGACACCTGGCAGAATGACAGCAAGAAAAGGGCTGAGCAAGGGTGTCCCAGACATCATCCAACTTCTGTGTGCCAACCTCTTTTCTTAGAAACTCACTTTGGACAAGAGAAGCTAACAGCAGTACTGCTGTATATAGATTATAAAATCACAGTGCCACGGTCATATTCATTCAAAAGCACAGGGGCAAGTGTGACCGGGCAGTGTGAGCCTGGATCCCCCTGTCTACAGAACCAAAAAGCTACAACCCACCCAGAGTGAATGGCACAGACTAAGAACCTGTCCAAAACGCCTACCAGGAAAACTATTATGAATAGTCCCCTTCTTTAATGTATTTCTGTTTTCATCCAGATTATTTGGTAAGTACATTTACTTTAAACAAGCAAGGTAAACTGTGTGCAAAATATGTTCTTCGCTGTTTAAAACTCTTTTCAATCTGTGAATTTAACGAGGACAGTTTAAGAAGAATGGTCAATATTTCAAGCCTCAAACTGGAGCTTACTTCCCTTAGTTAGGAGCCATTCTCCTGGGTGTCTCTGACCACAAAGAGATGAAGAGGAAGAAGCAGGTTGATGAGGGACTAAGAAGGCAGAGGCAGGATTAGAACAGGTTAAAACACGCAGAGAACAGACCTTTCCAAGGCAGACAAAGAAGCGAGCAGAAGCGAGGAAGGCAGAGCAGGAAGTTAGGATCACACAAAAATCCTCTGGCTTCAAAGAAGCAGAAGCCCCAGCTAGAATGGCTACCTACTCAGCCAGCTCTGTTTTGGGCTAAGTACATAATGCAGGTGAGCCTGGGTGATGGGAGACATAGCTCTGGACCCAGAGACCCCCGCAAAGGAGTGGCAGAAGGCCTACAGCAGGAAGCAATATGGTGACACCAAATGGAGTACATCTTCTAGAATCTTCAACTTTACCCCTCCCCCCAAAAAAAAATAAATGAAGTGTTTGAGGGAGGGAAAGAGAACCAAGACCATAGGAAAGGACTTAAGAATTATTCACAAGGCAGACAGACAGGTCTTCAAAACTTATTAGTTCTGGGATTCAGGGACAGAGCTATAAAAAAGAAGTTGGGGGTCAGGCACAGGTGAGCAGCCTCATTATTTCATCTGCCACAATCACAAAAATAAATAAGGGAAACCTGCTGGGTGTCAGCTGAGATGTCACTAGTTAAACACCCATGGCGCACTTCAGCGGGATCTCTGGCCACTCAGGGTAAATGTGTCAATGAACGGGTCTGAGCAGCGCTGGGGTGTAGCGGTGGCTCCTGACTTAGGCTTAAGTCATGGAAGTAGAGACCATCGGAGAAGCACGGGACGAGAAGGGAAGAGAGACGCTGACAAGGAGGGAAGTCAAAGGTGACCAGGGCAGGCAGTGAGAGACAGAAGCGGGAGCCGGCCAGCGGAGGCCGCGGACAGCCAGGCCCACGAGGCCGCTTCCTGCCCTCGTCTACACCCACACTAACAGCCTCACGCGGAAGCCAACCGCTATTTTAAAATATTTTTTGTGCTGTATTCATGGCTTCCTATATTCAATGAGGAAAGAAAGAAAAGTACAGATAAGCCAGCAGACACAGATTTTCTTTTTAACTACACTGTGCACAAAAGGGACCGGATTGCCCACAATTGTCTATGCCTCATTTTTCGCTTAGCGCGCCTCGGACCTTTGCATGCGCTCCTACGCAAATTGGCTGTATTATTTTTAACCATAATGGATGTAACTATAAAACCCTTACTTTGATTTAACCACCTCTTTATTAGTGGACTATATAATAAATGTTCTACCAAGGGACAGTCAACTATCAAAATGCTTCAGAAGGGCCCATTTGAGGTCTAGAAAGGAACCGCTGGATAGAACAAGTAGAAGATCAACTTTAGTGTAAATGAGGAAGGCAGTATTCAGCTTATTTTCTAGAAGCTGGATTGTGAGAAACCGTGAAAGTGAAAGGTGAGCTCATTTATCCTTCATGTAAATGCATTCATTAGATCTAATTATATATCTTACTTAAACTTTATGAGAAGTGGGGGGGGGGGGGGAGAGAGACAGACAGACAGAGACAGAGAGAGACAGAGACAGAGAGAGTGTGTTGTGGGGCTTGAACTCAGGGCCTGGGTGCTGTCCCTACCTCTTTGTACTCAAGGCTAGTGCTCTACCACTTGAGACACATCACTACTTCTGGTTTTCTGATAATTGGAGATAAAGAATCTCATGGGGGCTTTTCTCCCTGAGCCGGCTTTGAACCCCAATCCTAAGATCTCAGCCTCCTGAGTAGCAAAGATTACAGGCATGAGTCACTAGTGCCCAGCCTTTATGAGAATTTTATTTATTCATTGCCAGTTGTGGGGTTTGAACTCTCGGCCTGGGTACTGTCCCTCAGGTCTTTAGCTCAAAGCCAGCGTTCTACCACTTGAACCACAGTGCCACTTCCAGTTTCCTAGTGGTTCATTGGAATAAGAGTCTCATGGATTTCCTACCAGAGCTCACTTCGAACCACAATCCTCAGATCTCAGCTTCATGAGTAGCTAGGATCACAGACATGAGTCACCAGCACCCAGCTTTATGAGAATTTTTTTTTTTTTTTTTGTCGGTCATGGGGCCTGAACTCTGGGCCTGGGCGCTGTCCCTCAACTCTTCAGCTCAAGGCTGGCACTCTACTACTTGAGCCACTGCACCACTTCCAGTTTTCTGAGTGGTTTATTGGGTATAAGAGTCTCAACTGACTTTCCTGCCCGGGCTGGCTTTGAACCGTGATCCTCAGCTCTCAGCCTCCTGAGTACTAGGATTACAGGCATGAGCCACCAGTGCCTGGCATTTTATGAGAATTTTTGATGGAGCATTCTAGGCACTGGAAGGTGACCCATCCTTTTGCTATTACAAACAGCATCACTGTGTCATCAGAGACACCTTCCTAAGAGGGGGCAGTACCACCAGGAGGAGGGCACCCACGCTCCCAGTAACCCTGCTGAGATGCAACCATCGTCTCTGAGTGTTGGACTTTTATCTCTTCCTTTCATGCACCCCCTCTCCATACCAGCCTTAAAAAGAATCTCACAACTGATCTGCTTCTGATCTTGATTATAAGAACAGATGTGTTTATATAGTGTTCATACACTGACATGTTGAATTGAAACTTCTTTATACAACTATTTGATTTTCTTTTTACTTAAAAAAAAAAAAGAATCTGTGGGCTGAGAATGTGGCTCAGTGGTAGAGTGCTTGCCTAGCATGCATGAAGCCCTGGGTTCAATTCCATGGTATCACATAAACAGGAAAAGCTGCAAGTGGCACGAGTCCTCATGTGTTTATAGTCCTGGGGTTCCAACTCAGGGCCTCCGTGTTGTCCCTGAGCTTTTTTGCTTAAGGATGGTGTTCTACCATATGAGCCACACCTCTACTTCATCTTTTTGATGGCTAATTGGAAATGAGAGTCTTTCTTGCCCAGGCTGAATTCAAACATGAGCCTCAGAGCTCAGCTTCCTGAGTAGTTAGCTGGTGTAAGCCACTGGTGCCAGGTGCCTGTTTACATTTCTGTTTGCTCTCCTTTAAAGAGCTGGGTCAGCTCAGTGAAAAGTGTTTGCCCGAAGTGTTCATGACACGGCATTCAATTCCCAGCACAAGGAAAAGAACCACCAAAAACAGAAAAACAAAAAGCCTAAACAAACTTTAGAATCATTCTGTCAAGTTCCACAACTAAATCTGGTGGGATTTTTGGTGACATTGCATTGCATTTGAATGACTATGAGAATAGGAAGGTAAGTGAGCATACTTAGGACAGGAGTTTCCCATGCAGGAATCTAGAATCCTAGTCTTTCATTCCACTTCAGCAAAAGTGTACAACTTTTCTCATTAAAAACTGTATACATCTAAGCTTATTCCTAGATGTTGGTTTGCTGTTTTGGGTTGTTGTTTTTTTTTACTATAATTGTCAATAAAATACTCTTTTCTACCTGAAATTGGGAACACTACTGGTATTGTATAAGATAGATTTTAACAAGTCATTTTAAAAACGGTTTGGGTGGAGACTTGGGCGTGGCTAAGTGGCAGAGCACTTGCCTAGCAAGTATGAGCTATGGGGTCACTTCCAGAACCACTAAAAAAAATTCTTTTTTCCAACTGGTTCCTTTACTTCCACAATCACACTACCTTCAAATCAAATGATTATTTTCTTCTTGGTAAAGACTTTATGACTTCATGGGAAATAACAATGATAACACTTAAAAAGATACTATATTAAATATAACCACAACTATTCAAACGTACATAAGGATAGATACTCTATTTGCAAAGACCAAAAAAAAGACAGAATAGCCAAAAGTGGTCAGATGAGGTAAAAAAATCATGAGAGATTTCAACTTTCTTTTTTGTCTCATTTTACTAGGGTTCTAAGTTCCCACTTAGAAGTTTATTTACAAAGAAAAAATATTTTTCCATTTTGATAAGGTGGGAAAATCATACCTTTTTGCTGTCGCTTCCTCCTATACTAGTTTTACATTCTACAGTTTTATTTACCCAAATCCCAGATATGTTAAATGGAAAACTTCAAAAGTAACTCACTCCTAGTTTCAAATAACTTTCTCTTTGTGTGCATGTATGTGTGTTGGTTCTGGTGCTTGAACTCTGAGCACTGTCCCTGAGCATCTTTTTGCTTGCTCTGCCACATGAGCCTCAACTCCACTTCCGGCTCTTTTGGCAGTTTGTTGGAGTTAAGAGCCTCACAGAAGCCAGGCTGGACTGGCTTGAAACCGCAGTCCTCAAATCTCAGCCCCCTGAGTTGCTGGGATTACAGGCATAAGCCACGGGCACTTGGCTTAAATAACTTTTGTTACAATATACTGCTATAATTACTTTTTTTTTTTTTTAAATGATGGTTCTGGGGATTGAGCTCAGGGACTTACACTTGCTAGATAAATGCTCTTTACCACTTGGGCCATACTTTCAGTTTCTATTTTATAAGTAGTTGTTGCTGATTTCTTACTAAACCTAATTTATAAACTGAACAGTACTATAGGTGCATGCATACAGGAAACACAGACTTAGACATCAACAGAGGGTCTTAGAATGTAATCCTCCCTCCCCCATGGATAAGCAAACCTTCTACCTCCACATCTTTAGCCTCGCCTGCAGACTGACAGACCCTCACCACCTAACTAACACTGTACCATGCCACACCCACACTCCCTCCCACCCTAGCTAACAGGCTCTGCAGAGACACTTGCTTGGTTTCATGGTCAGAATGCAGGGAAAGAGAGATCCCTAATTCCTAGTCTACATCAAGGTTATATGTGTGTCTGTGTGTACGTGCATGTGTACATGCCTATGTGTACATGAGAAAGAGAGAGACACACCAGGTTGTAGGCAGAACTTGAAAAACTTTAAAACAAACAAAAAAAGCCACCTACTTTTTTAGCCCCTCTAAGATTATACTACCTCTTAACAATGAATTTTTATATATAACAAGAAGGGAAAAAACAATAGTTTGGCTTATTTTCTCACCGAATTGTTGTTCTTGTTATCTTCTAGATGTTCCAAAACTGATGTTAGGTTTGGGTCATCCGAGTCCACAAACCATATTGGGGAGGACGATGGGTAAGACTCCTGTGACAGAGACAGAAATGTTACATTCACCCACAGACACACCAATCTGCACACGCAACTAAACCAGAAATAACTAAACCACTAAATAACGAGGTGAAGTGTGGAACCCAGCAAAATGTATCAATAAAACTCAGGTAGGGAGAAACCAAATTCTTTCTTTGGACTTTCAAAACTAAAATTGCTGCCAGGCACTGGCAAAGATTATAGGCTCTTGCCTATAATCCTCGCTAGTCAGGAGGCTGAGATCGGAGGATCTCGGTTTGAGGTCAGCCTGGACAGGAAAGTCTGTGAGACTTATCTCCAATGAAGCAACAAAAAACAAAATGCCGGGGCTGGGAAGGTGGCTCAGTGGTAGAGTGCTTGCCTTGCATGCATGAGGCCCTGGGTTCAATTCCTCAGCATCACATAAGCAGAAAAAGCTGGAAGTGGTGCTGTGGCTCAAGTGGTAGAGCACTAGCCTTAAGCTGAAGAGCTGAGGGACAGTGCCCAGGCCCAGAGTTCAGGGCCCATGACTGGCAAAAAAAAAAAAAAAGCTAGAAGTGGAGCGGGACTCAAGTGGTACAGCACTAGACTTGAGCAAAGAAGCTCAGGGGCAGTGCTCAGGCCCTAAGTTCAAGCCTCAGGACCAGCATCAAATTTATTTATTTATTTTTAGAAGTTGCATTTCTAAACTTTTAGAACATCTCACTCTGAACTTTAAAAATAAAGCCACAAGTGGTAGAGCACGAGCCTTGAGCTGAATTGCTCACAGTTCCCAGGCCTAGAGCTCAAGCCTCAGGACTGACAAAAAAAAAAGAGAGAGATCTTTCCTGTGATTGTTTCTAACATATTCATAAGATTATGTCTTTGTTGCTTTGTATGTCCCTTCCCCATGGTACAACCCCTGCTTTCACTATATATGATGTTGGTATATGTGGAGGGGAAGAGAAAAAACAAATCATTAAAACAGGGATACAGGAGGACCCATTGCAACAATGAGATGTACAAGTCGTTATGGTGGGGGTACAGGGGAAGGATGCGAAGGGATGGGAAGAGGAAACAAAGGAGGAAGCTACAATGTTTGATAAGAAATGTACTCATTATCTTGCCCATGTAATTGTAACCCCTCTGTACAGTATTTTCACAATAAAAAAATGTTTATAAAAAATAATAATAAAGCCACGGAATACATCTTTAAAGCCTTGTAAGTTCCTCTGTTCCTGCCTTCTGAATATTGTAACTGCAGAAGCTACTCTGAGATAGTTTTTTCCTCCACTAGGAATGAGTCTAAAGTTTATTCCATGTAACCAGGCAGGATGGCACTCGCCTATAATACCTCCCAAATGCTGAGGCAGGAGCATCATAAGTTCAAGCTAGTCTGGGGCAACACAGGGAGACCTTGTCTATAAAAGAAAAAATAATGCTATTTAATTACTATTCCTAATGGTTTTCTCTACCTTCTTTGACTGAAGCACAGAATGTAACTTATTTTCTTTGCTTTTGCTTTGTGTTTAGAGTCAGAATCTAGCTCTCTGTAGGCTAGGGTGGCCTTGAACTCTGAGTCCTCCCAAGAGCTGGGATTACAGCTATGCACTATTACACTTGGCCTTACAGTGTAATAGCTTAAAAAAAAAAAAAAGACATCAAGTGTCTTCCACTTCAAACATCAAGTGTTAGAAGAATAACAGACAGAGGCCAGGCCTGCCACCATCCATGTGCAGCTTTTCACCTTCTGCTTTCAGTGGCTCCCCTGATGGAAGGCAGGGGCCTGGGCCTTGTAAGGGCTTACCGACACTACGGAGAAGAAACGACAAAGGCCAATCAGAGCTAACACAGGTCCTCAGATCAGACCAACACCACGTGAGATGAACCCTGACAACACTGTGAGACTGACCTCAGGCGGAGCCTCCTCCTGTCCAGCCTTGAAATGGCTACAGCCCTCCCACACCACCACCACCTGTGAAAGCACAATGCCTGCCGGTTGAAACTGGTGTGTTAAAGCTCTGAGGCAAGGTTCACTTGTTGCAGATAGAAAGAAAGGTAGGAGGTGGTGTGTGTGGTGTGGTGTGGTGTGGTGTGTGTGTGTGTGTGTGTGTGTGTGTGTGTGTGTGTTGGTCCTGGAACTTGAACTCAGGGCCTGGGCACTGTCCCTGAGCTTTGCCATGAGCAAAAATGGTTTCAGCACCATTTCTGCCTTTTTAGTAGTTAATTGGAGATAAGAGTCTCACAGACTTTTCCTGCCTGAGTTGGTCTTGAACCATGATCCTCAGATCTCAGCCCCCTGAGTAGGTACAAGTGTAAGCTACCAGCACCCAGCAAGGGTGAACAACTTGAAATACACTGCACGTATATGTAAGAACAGCAACAAGAACCTCAAAGAACATTGTGGATCAACAGGGGATGGGTAAGAAGTAGACTCTGTGGAGGTAGATGCTAGCAGGAAGGGGCTGGGCTAGCTAGCAAGGAGGATGAAAGGATCAATACAGTTCACATAGATGATTTGCAGCTATGAATACGGAACAATGCAAGCTATTGATGTGGAAAAGGGAGACCCACTGAGTGGTGAGGGAGGCTGTTTGAAATATCTGGCAAATGAGCGGAAGTGCAATCATGAAATCCCTGTATAACCCACGTAAGCTAGAAAAGAGAAAGTCTGTGTTCAAGCACTAAAAGTTATTTCTTGTTAATGTTGATACTTAAATGTATCTTTTTAACACTGCAATGATGAAACATTCTCCACCTGCAGAAAACTGGACAAAAAACAAAGTAACAAAAAACAACCACTTGTGTGACCCAGGGTAGGGGGGGTTCATCTGACCTAGCTCCTGGAGTATCATTTTTATCTGGGAAGAGGGTAACAATTGTTCCAAGTTGGGTTGGGGCAGATATTTTCTCAAAAAGATATTCAGAAAAGCAAAGAATGGTGTATTTTGCCAATCAAATTCACATTTCAGCCAGGCACTGGTGGATGACTCATGCCTGAAATCCTAGCTACCCAGGAGGCTGAGATCTGAGGTTTGAGATTCAGAGCCAGCCTGGGCCAAAAAATCCCTAAGATCCTTTTTCCAAATAAGCAGCTAGCAATGGTGCTGTGGCTCAAATGGTAGAGCATTAGCTTTGAGCAAAAACTCAGGGACAGTTCCCAGGCCTCATGTTCAAGTCTCAGGACTGGGACCAAAAAAAAAAAAAAATCAACTTTTCAAGCAAAGAAAGGAATTTTAGAACACTTGTGTCTGTGTGAGCCCAAAGCTTCCCAAAGGCATTCTGATGAGACTGTCCATGTTGGTGGACATGTTTTGATGTGTACAGTGAAACTTATCAACATTTAGAAGAACATAATGAACCAATATTTTCCAAATAGCCAATACATGATATTTAATATCATGCAAGAATGAAAGAGCTGTACTTCCAGGTAGATAATTTTGTAGAAAAGCAACATATTTACAATTATATAAAATAGCTCTTAAATTATTTCTTTTTCCAATCAGGTATATGCACAGTCAGATTTGGGTCACATTTTTTGACAAAAACAGCGTATCATACAACATACTGAATGCAGAAAGTGAGTGACACCAAATAAATTCGGGAAATAATGTACATCTGTGCATACAAAAGGGGCTTCATGCTTGCTTAGCATGAGTGAAGCCCTGGGTTCGATTCCTCAGTACCACAAACACAGAAAAGGGCAAGCTGTCGTTCAAGTGTTATAACTCTAGCCTGGAGCAAAAGAAACTCAGGGATGCCAGGTGCCGGTGGCTCATGCCTGTAATCCTTGCTACTCAGGAGGCTGAGATCTGAGGATCGTGGTTCAAAGCCAGCCTGGACAGGAAAGTCTGTGAGACTCTTCTCTCCAGCAAACCACTAGAAAACCACAAGTGACACTGTGGCTCAAGTGGTAGAGCGCTCGCCTTGAGCTGAAGAGTGCAAGGACAGCGCCCAGGCCCAGAGCTCAAGCCCCACAATGGACCAAAAAAAAAAAAAAACAGAAGCAGCAGCTCAGACACAAGGCCCAGGCCCTGAGTTCAAGCCCTAGGACTGGCAAAAAATAGAAAATAAAAAAATAAACATTTATAGTTTCGTTACATTCACATAATGAATTCTTAATGTCTTTAAGTATTCATTTAAATAGCCATGGTTATTTACCTGACAGAACAAAAGCGTACACTCTCAACATTTTTTTGGTGGTCATAGGGCTTGGACCATGCCCTTAGTCCTTTTGGCTGGATAGGGTTTTGCCCAAGGTGAGCCTCAGGGCCTTCTGCTTCTGCCTCCCTTGTAAGAGGAGTAAATGCTCTCACCCTGTTTGTTGAAATACTGCCTCTCTAACTTTCGTTGATTTGTTTTGGTCTGAGACCTCAATCCTCCCATTTCTACCCCAGAGCTAGGATTACAGATGGGAAGTACCACGCCCAGCCCTCTTAAAGGAGTCCTGAACCCAGAAACATCAGAAACCACTGACCTTCCCACTTCTTGCCTGGTGCCCAAAAATTCTTCCTTGGGGAACTATTCAATCACTGTTTATATCAATCTACACAGCTCCCCTAGGGGTCACTGGGCTACTTTCCTTTCTTAACACAATACCTGAACAAAAGCCAGGTACAAGTGGCTCACACCTGTAATCCTAACTACTCAGGAGGCTGAGAGCAAAGGATCACAATGTAAAGCCAGCCTGGATAGGAAATAGCTCCCATGAATCACCAAAAAGCTAGAAGTGGAGCTGTGGCTCAAGCAGTATAGTATTAGCCTTGATCAAAGAAGCTCAGGGACAGTGCCCAGGGCCTGAGTTCAAGCCCCAGGACCTGCACAAAACCTAAAAAAGCACTAACACTCCCACCCATCCGTTCCCAGGGATAAGATGCCAGGTGGGTGAAGCCAGGGGAACTAGATGTTTCCTGCTACCAGGGCTCACTTGTAGGCATCTCAAGTCAATCGAAGCTACTCAAGAGGCCAGGACTCAAGCACCCAGGCTGTTCCAGAGATCCAGTAGGAACTGTCTTCCCGAATGATCTATTAGAAGATAC